CTCATAAAATGATCATTATACCACGTTTCACAAACATGATGTTTAAAAAATTTTTTTTTTTTTTTTTACGATTATTTTTAGTTGAAAAGGAGATTATTATATAAACCTACTTTTTTATATTTATTCAGGGTTTTTTTTTAGAAACATCGCAGGGGAAATAAACAAATGTTTCAAATCACCGCAGTTGTTATACAGCGAAAAAAAAGCCATAATAAACGATGATTTCTTTTTGGTAACTTTAAAATGTAAAACGCCCACAGAAAACTTTTCCTTTTTTAAATAAAGAATTCTTGGTATACTTCATTTAAAAATGATTGAAACAAAAAGTTTGACAAAATGAAAAATACGCAACACACGCAGTTTTGGGGGTTCTATTAGAAAAATTTTTATATTTTATATATTTTTAGTATATTTAGAAGTTGAAAACATAACCTAACGCCGATCCTTATTGTTAAACAATGTGGATCTTCTTCGTGTATTTCTATTCTTTCTATTCACAACTATTCACAACCTATTCACAAACTTTTCACAACTTTCACAACTCCGAAAAAAACCAAGAAACCACGTGTTAATTACACGAAAAGAATAACCATTTAGAACTTATTTACTAAAATTCTAGAAATTTCTTTACCGATTCAAGTTAGAGAAATGTTAGATAATGAATGTATGAGATCTAATAAGAATAATCATTATAAAACCGAATAAGGTGTCTTTTACATATGATAATAGAATGTATTTTAAGTAATTAAATGATAATAAAATTAAAAGGCTTAGTTCCTAATATTGTTATGTTCATTAATGGGTAATTCGGACTTCGGCCGATATTTTTCCCTACCCTCAATAAAATGGTCTTATTGTTTTACCTAATAATTTTTTTTTTTAAGATTATTGAAAAATTATCCGATAAAAAAAAATGCGCCATGTTTGAAGAAACCCCATTGTAGGATTGTAGGAATTTAAACCAATAAAAGAAAAAAAAAACATTAAACAAATAAATTCATAACTCCGAATTCCGAATTAAAAAAAAAATTAAAATAAATTTTTTTTTTAAATTAAAAATTTGAATCTGTATTTTGTAAAATTAATAAATTTTAAAGACAAAGAAAGATCAATGTTCATTATGATAATGAACACACACACAAGTAAATAATAAGAACAAAAAATGAAAGATAAAGAAAAATATAGCTGATCAAAATTAAAATGATGATGATCAAATGGCTAAAATACCAGATTAAAACTCGAAATAACTTTGGAGTTAAAGGTCAAAATAAGACTAGTATGAAATCATATCTGGTTATATGGCTATTTGGGAATTTTTATAATTATAACCACCATTATTATTTATGTTTACAATCTTTACAATCATTTTTTCAAAAAAAATGATTAAAACCCCCTGAAAAAAAAAAAAAATTTGTGTAATTCTTTTCCCGTGGCTTTTTTATTTAATTTCATTCAAGTTTATAATCTTGTTTTTATTTATATGTTTTTCATTAAAATAACCAAAAGTTGGTATTCTGATTAAGTTTTATCAAGTGATTAAGATCGTTGGTCTGCATTTAAACTGTTAATGATGACGTCAAATGTGTATCTACTCTCGTACAAGAAATTACGAGTTTTTACCGTATATATCAATTTCTTACCCGAAAATATTAAAAATAATAAGAAATAATTTAATAAATTTTTTTTATTTGTATAAATTTGAAAAACTGATAATTTTTAATATGGATATACGAGATATACAGTATATCGTATGTATGTTATAATATATATAATATGTATATTTGGATTATTAATATCTAAATATTTATTATTATTTAAATTAATTGGTGAAAATTGTTCTTGTTTATCTGTTATGAAAAAAAAAACCCATCACTTTTATTTTCCAAATTGTTTGGTTCAGGTGAATGATTTAATTCCTTAATTGGCATAAAAGGTACAAACAATAACGCAAGTATGTTTATCAATATATCCTATTAATTTAATTTCTTTTATTATTGGTGAAAAATTATTAAACATTTTCCCTAAAAATCTTACATTAAAAAAATTGTAAGAGAATTTTAAATTTACATTGACACAAAAATTTAATCTCTCACAATAATAAATTAATTACATTTCTTTTTAAATACGTGAAAGAAACAAAAAAGTGGGATTTAAATTTAACAAAATAAACACAAATCAAAATAATGATGCAAATGATTTTTTAAGTTAAGTTTTTCTTATTCAATTAAGATTTACATTTACTAATCATCTGACTAAATTGTGTTATGTGGCAACGGTATTTTAACAAACAAAGTTGAAACTTTCGGACTTTCAAATGATAGATAAACATTAACTGTAATAAACTGTAATAGTATGGTGTTATACAACTGGGTATAATTATTCTATATAAAGTAATTAAACTTAACATTTTGCATTCAGGTTTTGTGGGGCATTAAAATATTATTTTAACGAGTTATTGTTTCTATTTTATTTTTAAAATTATTTGTAGATTGATTCTTTTATTAGTGTACAATATAAATTAATAAAATAGGTAACTATTCTTTTACTGTAAATTTACTTTTTTAAATTACTTTTACTGAATCTACTGACGTATTATATATATATATATAATATATATATATTTAAACTCCCCCCCCCCTTTTCCATTTAATTGTAAATGGCGGTGTATTTTTTTTCTATTTTTTCTTCACGTCCAACGGTCCAAGTAGATTCAAGATTTTAACTTTTATTAATTATATTTTATAAAGGCTGGGGACGTTACAATATGTCGAAAGCCAAAGTTAGATGATGATAATAATAGTATTATATCAACAAGTATAGAACATTCACATAGTATAAGACGTAGACATAAATTTTCTATTAGACATGATATAGGTGAAAGAGAAATACGGAGAAATAAAGTAGGTGGTGATTTCTCCCCTGCAAGTTCAATAAGTGATAGGAAAGGAAAGAAAAAACACAAAAGTCTTCCTGTACCGCCAAGAAAACCTGTTAATAGTGCTGAAGAAGGTACCTCTAAAAATGTTAATGGTGTCGTTGTTGACCCTCGCCGATTTTGTATGGTGGATCCATTCAATTTAGGTGGTCATCGACGTAGTTATACTTTAGATACTACTTGGAATATAACCGCTTTTTTTGATAGTGTATCTAATGATAAAGATGATGAAAGTCCTGCTACTATATTAATAGCTAAAAAAGAAAATTTAGCAAGGAATAGTCATAATAGATTTAGTATGCAACCTGCTCGTCGTAATAATAGTAAAAAACGTCGTTCTATAGCAAAAGAAATAAGGGAAGTTGAAGTTCGAACTTTTCGTTGGGAATCTCGTCGCACAAATCGTGAAAAAACTTGTTCTCAATTATATGAACTATACGAAAAACAAATTGATAATTCCCTTTTAAATAATTTTACTCAAGATAAACCATTACCCCCTGTACCTTTTGATAATGATGATAAATCATTTTGTGATAATGATTCTGAAACAATAATAGATCCTGAATTACAATCAATTATAGACACTTTATCTTTGATATCTGATCATCATAGTGATATATTTGATGATTCAAATTCATCTATATATACTTCAACAAGTACTATGCGTGAATCTTTTTCTGAATTATTAATTACTGATGAAGTTATGTTTAACTTAATTGAAGATGAAATTTCTGCTTTATCAACGAGAAATTCTGTAAATTCTTTTGAAACTTTACCAGTTGAAGTAGAAATGTGTTTATCATGTAAACGAAGATCAACCGAAAGTGGTTATAGTATTCAATGGTGTAAAGCATGTGAAATGAAAAGATTTGAACAACATTTTGAATCTTGGTCAAGTGGTAATGATGATATTGATTGTTTCATATTAGAAAGTCAATTAAATTCAACAAATTTCTTTGATCATTTGGAATGGATATCATTTGATAGGTTACAAGATGTTGAATCAATTGGTGATGGTGATACTACTTTTCAAGCCATTTGGTTGGATGGTCCTAGTAATAGATGGGATACGAAAAATAATCGTTACGTTGGAAGTGGTGAATGTTTAGTAGTATTGAAATGTTTTGAAATTCCCGAAAATTCTTCTTCAGATTTCTTTGATCAGGTAAATATACTTTTTTTTGACGTTCGTTTACGTTCGTTTACGTTCTTTTTACGTTCGTTTTACGTTTTATTACGTTCGTTTTATCGAAAAATATAAAATAATTACTAATTTCTTTACTATATATATTATTTAGTTGTCTAAATATCTTCGTTGTGAAGATAATAATGGCGCACATTTTGTACGTTGCTATGGTATAACACAGGATCCAGAATCGAAAGAATATATGTTTGTGTTACATTACGTAAAGGATGGAAATATTTCCCATTATTTGAAACAAAATTTTGTCGATATAACGTGGCAAAAAAGATTGGAAATTTTATACGCTCTTGCAGAAGGTCTCAGTATCTTACACGAGAAAAATTTGATCCATGGAAATTTACATGATGGAAATGTACTCTTTGATGATTCTTTAACGTTAATAAGTGATCTTGGAATATCACGTTACCAAATTTCTTCTAATAACGGAGCATACGGTGTTTTACCTTTTATTGCTCCCGAGTTATTAAAGAATAAACCTTATACAATGGCATCTGATATATATAGTTTTGGTATGATAATGTGGGAATTAATAGTTGGAAAAGCCCCGTTCGCTGATCGTGCACATGATGAGGAATTAGCAACAGAAATTTGTAAGAAAGGATTACGACCGGAAATTCCATCTGATATTCCCGAATGTTTTATCAACCTTTTAAGACAATGTTGGGATTCAAATCCATTTAAACGACCTTGCGCTAACATATTACGTGAAACAATACATGAATGGATTTCATCAAATCCTTCATCAGAAATTTCAATCCAATTTCAACAATCAGAAGAAAAACGTCTCGAAAATGTAAAGACGACAAATTCTAATGATGATGTTCATCCAGAAGCTGTATACACTAATAGATCCTTCAGTTTCGAAAATCTTATTGAACCAAATGTAACATTCACCAAATCTGTTAATCCCAAAGAACATTTAGCATTACAACAATATATTGCTAACGAAACTAAATTTTATCATCTTAAAATTAAAAGTTTAAAAGCAGAAAATAGTGATACAGCTGCTGAGATTTATGATATATTACAATATTGGTAACGAATATACTACAATAATTAATTTTTAAATATAATCAAATGTCCCCTTTTTTTATTTTTTATTTTTTTTTTTTTATATTATTTTTTTTTTTTTTTTTTTTTTTTTTTTTTTTTTTTTTTTTTTTTTTTTTTTTTTTTTTTTTTTTTTTTTTTTT